ATTAATTATGTCAAAAATTAACAGAAAAACAACACATTGACAATTATGTGACATATAAATAATTTATTATATATAACTTACACATCTGATACAAATTAAAATCTCAATATAATAATATATTTTTATATTATGTGATAGCTAACAAAATATTTTTTTTAATCTAATTTTAATAGTAAATTGTGAAAAATTTTAAATATGACAAGTCAAAGTAGAAAAAAAAATTAATTTAGGATAAATTACAAACACATCCCTTAATGTTTACTTAAAATACGAATTGTCCTCTGTGATTCTAAAAATTATATACAGACTCCTGATATTTCTAATTTTATAATAAATGACCCATTTTATTAATAAATTATCAAGTTAATTAACAATTTTTAATGATGTTAAAAATTTATTTCAATTAATAATTAAAGTAATTTTATTATTGTATATACGAGCAGTTAGAAATTTCAATTTTTTTTTTATTAATTTTGTTAAATGAAAATTTCTGATAAAAAATGTTTGTAATTTTTAAATAACTTGTATTTTAAACAAACTACACAGCGCATTTATAATTTGCCCTAAAATGTAATAACGAGAAAATAAAAAGCCAAAGTGTAATTTACTCAAAATTTAAACGACCACCAACCGCCATGATCCCACTCTTCCTTCCCTGTTCAGTCATTCTGAGAGTCTCAAACACTCAATCATATTCCCCGTCAACAGTTGTTTATTCGAAACCCTAGCTCACACCCTTTTTCCTAGACAATTCGCACAAGCAAAGAAGCTCTTTACGACTCTCCCTCAACATATAAATGGCCCATTTGTACTTTAAATTCTTCAACTCTCAATTTTGCAACAGTTTCTACCTGTTCATCCATGCCCTTCACCCCCCAAAACACCCTTAACTCATCCCCAAAGACGAAGAACTAACAATCCAAACCCACTTCGCCGGACTTGGATCACATTTATGCGGCAGGTTTGCTTTTTGGTCCGAATTAATCTACTTAGTGATTTATTTATTTTTTTAAAAAGAACAAAATCTTATTGGTTTTTCAATTTGAGGTGGGGTTATTATGCTCAATTTTAATAGAGCAAATTTCAGATTAGCCTTATGTGGTTTGGCTCATGTGCACATAATTAACCCCATGTTGTTTGGAAATTAGCGCATAATCCATGTGGTTTGTGAAAAGCCCATTAATAATTTAAGTGAAAAATACTAAAATACCTTGTATATAAGTAACTTCAACGTTAAACTACGGAATTTTCGAAATTCACTTTAAATTTACGGACATTTGGAAATGAGTATATAACCTCTGTGTCTGGGCACAAGTTTCAGATTTGGTGTTAACTTGGATAGAATGCCTAACTATGTACTTCAGTTGGGTTATGCGGTTATTTCTAAATGATAGGTAATCTGCATTTGAACTAAACCACCCTAAGGGGATAAAGTGAAATTTGCCCGTATTAATATTTTCTTTCTTGCTTGCTTCTTCTTCTTTTTTTTTTTTTCTTTTTTTTTTTTAATCGGCAAATGTTAGTTGTTAGATTAGCACCTATGGGAGAAAATCTCTCCACCCTTGGCAAAGCACCTAAGTGCTTGCACTCCCTTAATTCAACTCCCCTAAAGAGAATTGAACCCATAACCTCCTTGGGACTAAGCCCTAAGGAAGGTATGGTGGCCAACTAGGCTAAGCCTAGTTGGTTTCTTGTTTGCTTCTTGATGTGGGGTTTAATGGTTTTTGGGTGCAGAGTGTTCCAATGATAGCACTGTGTTTCAGGTTGGAGACATGAGCGAGGTTACAATAAATTTTGGAATGGAGGAACCCAATGACACAGATATCTTGACTGAGGTAGCTGATACAGTTATGAACATAGACATAGGTGTGCTCAACAAAGATGATGGTGATAATGAGACCAATACTAGTGTGGTCATAGAAGTAACTGGTTGCGGGATGGAATGTAATAAAATATTGTTGGAAGATAATCGAGATTTTGAATTGTCTGATTTTAAAGAATTACAAATTGAAGTGATTGATTGTTCTAGCTCCGGATTCGATTTTGCTCAGGAAAAAAGTGTGCATGCTCTGAAAGGTTGTATGGAGAATGAAAGGCGTGAGATTTCAAGTCCAGTTAGTGTTTCCCAGCTTGGTGAAAAGAGTAACATAGAAAACAATGGTGCTCTAAATGTGAATGAAACCATGACCATGTCCAATCCAATAGAGGCTGAACCAATTCCTGATGAGGAAACTAGTCATGACACATTGGAAGAACTCATTGACACAAACAAAAGTGAAAGCACAATGAAGGTTGGCTTTTACTGTTCTTTCTCTTATATACTAATGTGGTTACTTTGCATCTTCACTTAATTATCCTTACTTTTATTATGGCAACAATAATATCAAATTTACTTTAGTACTGGCTAAGGTAGTTTGAATGCCATGTATGAGAAGAAGTACAAAAATAAAGTGGAAGATTGTTAGTCATTAGACAACTGCTTTAAAAATGGACTGTAACTATAACCTATCGTTATTACATAACTGTATGGGCTGTCATTGCTACCTATTACAGCCACTATAGCAGCGTGATTAAATTTTACAAATGTAACGGCTGCCACCGTCACGTAACACCCATTGCAGGATGTTGCAACACCGTTACAACCCTTAATGTCATTACAGAACAATGACAAATCTGCGACATTTAAAAGCCAATTTTTTTGCTCATTTTTCCTCTTTCAACTTCTTGTTTTTATTATTATTATAATTGTTTATTTACTCAACATTAATAATTGAATTCATCCATTTCTTGAGCTAGTTGAAGAGCTCCGATAGATTTCGAAGTGGAGGTGATGTAAAGGAGGGACTTGCCTTGCGAAGGGGAGTCATTGTGAGGGGAGAAGTAAGAGCTGCCTTCGTGTCTTTGAAAGCCTTACCATGTTCATCCATGATCCATCCACTTGAACTTTTTTTCTTTCTCCAGTAGGGAACTAAAAGCTTGGGTGATCTCTGTCATAACTGGGATAACTCTTTGGAGAAAAGAGATTCGACCCAGGAAGGTTTTTAGCTCATCTTGGTTTTTTGGGCAAGGCATGTCGCAAATTGCGGCAAGCTTAGTTGGGTTGGGATGTATGCTATGGCAATGCACTATACATCTGAGAACCTCCTGCTGCTGCTGGATATTCTGCAGTTTTTTTTTTTTTTTTCATTAGAAGCCTAATGTCTCACCTAAAATAAACCGAATAGTAGGCATAGGATCTTTGGTTTGTTGATTAAAATGGGATTTAGTGTTGAGGAGGGTTTTCCACCTTTAACAGATTCTTTATAGAGTTTGTAAGTGGTCTGTTTTCTTCTTTTGGTGGATTCAAACTGCTATAATTAAAGTTTTTGTGTGCCCTGTGTGTACATGGATGATGCCACTACTTTGATGCTCTTTACTGAGTTGTAACTCAAAAAAGAAAAGTGTGATTTTCTCTTAGTCCCAAGACACCTTTTGTGTTTATGTTGTTTGTAGGTCCATGATGGTGTCCCTAATGTTGAATTGGAAGCACAAAGCAAAGATTTAGACGGATCGGAACACAGAGCAGTAGATTTGGAATCAGAAACTGCTGTAAAGAGGTATTCTGCTTATTCCCTGTCTCCTATCCTGTCTCCCTTTCCTTGACATGTTCAATTTCCGATTTCTCCTAACATTTGGTACAAGTGTTTCAATAGAATTACTATCTTTACAATCTGGATTTTTGTGTTTTATTTGCTTAAATCACTAAATGCACTGTATAAGGTGTTACACCTTATGTGAAACTGTCCCTTTTCTTTTGATTAGTAATATTATTTTCATTAAAAGTGCCAAAGCGGGCACACATGTGCATTTCTTTACTCCATGTATCTGAGCATCATGAATTCCTTGGGGTCAAATATATGAATTCTTCTTTTAAGTTCCACTCTAATAAAGTAGCCTTATGCTCCACCAAATCTTTGGCTAAAAGGCAGGACACTTCTATGAATGCTACAAACATGTCATGTTGGACATCAAAACTCGTCGGACACTTCTTACATGTGTTGGATAAATGTCCAAATGTGTTATTTTTTTGAACTAAACATGCTACACTTGGTTGACACGTTTCCATTGATTAGAGACACATGATTTTGTACTATTTCGACATATTAATAGTTAAAATGAAGAAATAAAATATATATTTATTTGTTGCATTGTCCTTGTCATGTCATGTCATGTCCTGATTTTTTCAACATTGTCTTGTCGGCATGTCCAAATCTGTGTCGTGTCCGTGTTTGTATCTGTATTCTATATTTGTATCTGTATCCATGCTTCGATCTTTTCATATCTTGCCTTCTGACAACCTTGAGTCATGTTTGTATTACTTCCTCTCTTCTGTTGGGTGCCTTCATCTTCAATTAAGTTTCTTTTTACCACACCAACCTCTCTGTCTCTCTCTCTATGTCTATATATTGGTATCATAGCCATCTCATTGTTAGTTCTGTTACTTTGTGAATTTTTTCTTTGATCCAGCTACCCAACATTCTGCGGTCAATAGCTGGCCTTATTGCCATCTCATAAATTTCTACTTTGACAGAGCTTATATTTTACAATCAGACCTTAATCAAAAACACATTTCCGTGTCTCCCTCTTTATGGCTAGGGAAACCAATATTATAATTTAAAGTGTGTATTATGACATCTCCACACTAAGACTGTGTTTGGTTGAAGGATTTGGGGGGATTTGAAAAGGGAAAAAGAAAAGTTGTGTGAAATTAGGTGAAATATAGGTGTATTTTATTCACATTTCACCGTCTCTTTCCCTTTCTCTTTCCAAATCTCTTTCCAAATCCTTCAACCAAACACAGCCTAAGGGATTTATCTGGGCATATTGTAAGAAGGGTGAAGACAAAAAGCATATAATAGTCGATTCCTTGAAAACCAATGAACCAAATTTCTGGATAAATTGCTTGGGACGCATCATTATCCTTCTGATCATCATTTTTTGTGTATGTTACTTCTAACCAGGGAGGAAATCTCAACAGCAGGATATACCTTATCCTCTGGTGTTTATTTACTACCACATCCTTCTAAGGTAATCTCCATATGATGGATATGACAAATGCTGTTTTATATTTTTGAATGACAAGAAATTGACATACTTGTGTAATAATATTCAGATAATTTAAAAAGAGCATTCAAACTGAGAAACAAGAGTGTTAGGATTCAAAATTGTATCTCCAGTTCTTCAAATTGTGGGTCATTGTGACTTTGGAATCCATGGTTTTCTAGTTGGTGGGGAGAAAAAAGGAGCCATTATGACTTCCTGTTTACTACTAATTGAGTTTTTTTTTTTTTTTTTTTTTTTGGTGGGATGGGGTTGGGGTCAGTTATTGACTGAAATTTTTTGTTTATATATTTGAATTTATTGTTGACGGAGAGTTTAAAGTTTTGAAATTGGAGCCAAGTGAAAATTTTGGGTTATTATTGTCGTCAATTTAACATTTACAAAGCGTCATATTGAATAGTTTTACTCATCAAACAAAAGAATAATAATACTGTAGACAGTCCAATTTGACAAATGCCATGAGGGCACTTGTGGACAAATAAGCCACTTTGCACCTTGACCTATCATGCTAGGCAGACTTGAGGAGGCTATGGTTTGGTGGGAAACAAAGGACATGCTAGCTTGGGTGCAGCGCCACAGACTTGGTTTGCTGACTCAATTCACTAAAACGGATATTGGGTAACTGTGATGGTAACTAGAGCCATGGAAATTTTCTCTTCCTCACACCTTCGCCAAATGATAACAATACATGTCTTTACTCTAGAAACACGTTAATTGGGGTTTTAAATAGCTATTTATTAATCTTTATAAACTTATAAACATATTTTCATTTTTGGAATGAGCTGATGAATTATACAATTTCTGCATAAGCAATGAATTATATATATATATATATTAAATATCAATAAGAAATACTTAATTTCTTTTATTTTTTTATAATTTTTTTTTTTATTTTAATTTTTTACCTATCATTGACTTTATGTAAATCTAAATAAAAAAAAATTTAGTGTGTGTGTGTTTTTTATGAGTGAACTTTTATTAAACAGACATGGTAACGAAAAAAAACTAAAATCCTTCTCTAAAACTAAGCTTTCCCAAATTCAAAATTGCATCATAGTTTGGCCCATCTAAAAGTAAGTTTTATTGACTTCCTTGGGCTTGAAGTTTGGAAAAGAGTTGTATGAAATCACATTTTGGTCCGCTTAAATCCAAAAGGTAGTGCTATTGACTTCCTTGGCCGTAGGCCACTCTATCTAAACCATGTAAATCTTGTTTTTCTTTCTCTTTTACTTCTCTCTTTTATTCTTGCATTCTCTTATTATTTATAAATTTATCAGTAATAATTTGGATGTGATTTTTTCAAACTATTTTTCCATAGTAAGTAATTCAGCAATAATGAATGACAGGCATCGACAGGTGGGGATGATGCTTATTTTATTGTTGGCCAGAACTGGTTAGGCGTGGCTGATGGAGTCAGTTCGTGGTCAGAAGAAGGTAATTGCTGTGGACAGAGTATGTCAAGTTACAGCTTCCATTGCTATGTCAACTTAATTTTTCTGTTTATTTTGTCTCGGTGTTGGTGGTTTTACCAACATTTGTGATCTTGATTTAGTTTTTGATTTATATCTTAATAGATACACTTATGCATCTATTCAATAGACAAGTTTTCCTAATACAGCTGTTAGATAGCACCGATAGGCAATAATATGCTATTGTTCAAGAAGAATCTGTATCTTGATTTTGGTTTAAATATAATTTGTATTGAGTTTTACTTTCCAGGGATTGATCCAGGAATTTATTCTCGAGAACTGATGGAGAACTGTCGAAAGATTGTCTCAAAATGCAATAGTATTCCACTTACCAATCCTGAGGAGGTTATCAGTAAAAGTAATCTGGAAGCAAAGTCTCCTGGGTCATCAACAATTTTGGTTGCCTACTTTGATGGTCAGGTATTTGTAGACTCTTTCTGTTGGGTGGTTACGTTGTTGAGGAAGTGTAATTATCAGAACAAGTTTAGTGTTTCCATGCTCTTTTAGATGATGTTAACTAAATTTCAGGAAATCTTTTCAGTCCCTTGGTAGGATATAAGTTGAGGAAGTTAGTTGCCAATGTTTGAATGCAATGGGCTCCAAAATGCCCATAAACAAGCTTGTGGGAAAATAATAGTAAGGAACTTGGGCAATGTAGGTATTTGAATGCCTTTGACAGTTCATATGACCCCCAATGAGTGGACCTCACAACCTCAAGGCATAAGCCCCCTTGCCTTGGTAGGTGCTCACCCAAGCACTTCACATTGGCTTGTAAGCCTTCCCTCACCTAAGTGCCATGGGCGCTTGCCTTACTAACCCTGCTCCGCAAGCAGATACCCAACTCTGCAACCATCTGATTGCCTCACTACCCCGTACTCGGCAACTACTTGCTTGGCACCATGCGCTTTGCCTTTCAAAGGCTCTAACTCCAAAATGATACTCTGATAGCCTGCGTAGGTCAGGATCAGGGTCTACGGACTCTCTGAGAGTGACTCACCATTTTTATTTAAATGGCAAGGAAACATATCCGTCACACATCAGTTTAATCTGAAGGAATAGTATGGAAAGATATCTGTATTGAGAAAGTCAGTTTAAAATCATAGAAACTGCACTAGGTTTTATTCCACCTATAGCTCAACAATTTTAGAAGATAATGATGTAAATTTTGATGCTTTAAGAACTCTGCTAGTAAGGATATCAACTGACAGTATTAATGTTCCTCAGGTTCTTCATGTGGCCAATATTGGAGATTCGGGATTTATTGTAATAAGAAATGGTGTTGTTTATAAAAAGTCTACACCGAGGTCTTTTGAGTTCAACTGTCCATTTCAGATTGAAAGCGGAGATGATCCCTCCAAATTGGTGGAGGTATGTTGTATCAATTACTAATACATTCAATCATGTTATGAATATTTAAATCCATTGAAAAATTAAGCTTGCAGTGAGTAGGAGTAATCATCTATAATGTTATGAGCAATCACACACACAGGAGACAAATATTTAGAGCGGGAAAAACCCTTCAAAATGTGAAGGCAAAAAAACCTACTGCGCTGCACAATCCACTAGCTAGGAAATTAAGTTTACTAGTACATAAGATCTAGACAAAAATCCTATCGACCCAAATCCCATGAGCAGTTCTGAAGTTTTGATCTTCAACCTGTTTGTTCTGATCTTACTTAGATTTGTTGTCTCCGCTAGCATGCTATGATTACTAATCCACTGCCATGACCTCAACACCCTCAATCCACAGCACCAAGCTTCGATTTCTTGAATGATTAAACAACATAGAATGAAATGATACTCTCAAGATATGAAGTTTTAAGCATAATAATCTATTTTGAAATATAGCAAGTTTCAAGATTTAGGAAAATTGGTATATTGCTGCCTTGAACTTACTTTGTGATCATCAAAATCAATTTAAACTTTACTTGAGAAACCTTAGGGCTAATAGCTTGGATTTTCAAAATATCATGACATGTTCATGAGACTCTGAAGTACTAGATACAATTCTTGGAATCAAATTGCCAGCAAAAAAATGACAAGGATATTTTTCCTCATAATAGGCCATACAAATGAAAGTTATTTTTTTCTCTTCTAATAAATAAATGATTAGAAATTATTAATTTTGTTATGTCTAACCATTTGTATTTCAGATGTACGAAATTGATTTGGACGAGGGTGATGTGATCGTGACTTCAACAGATGGCCTTTTTGACAATCTGTACGACCCAGAAATAGTTTCAATTGTATCCAAGTCAATGCAATCCAATTTTAAACTTGAGGTGCTTCCTAGATGCCTTGTTAAACATTTTTAAGCTTCTCTAGACTCTTGACTGAACTATTTGAGAATAAGTTTGTAGCAAGGCATGCTGGTTGCAGTGTGGTCATTGCACAAGGCATTTGGCCAAAACGAAGAGTGACCCACTATTTATTCTCTCCTTGAACTCAAACCCAAGAGTGATTCCCTGAAGTCCTATTCATGGGTGCTAGGCAGGCAATGGTGCGAAACAAAATGACTTGCAAACTCGAACCTAAGAGTGATTCCCTGAAGTCCTATTCATGGGTGCTAGGCAGGCAATGGTGCAAAACAAAACTCTCCTTGAACTTGAACCCAAGAGTGATTCCCTGAAGTCCTATTCATGGGTGCTAGGCAGGCAATGGTGCAAAACAAAATGACTTGCAAACTCGAACCTAAGAGTGATTCCCTGAAGTCCTATTCATGGGTGCTAGGCAGGCAATGGTGTGAAACAAAATGACTTGCAACAGATATCTTAGTTCTCGCATCAATGAAGGATGTGGCAAAATGTGATGTTCTGTGCAAATTGCAGAATCTTGTGAACCATTGAGTCTTTGAACACAATTTATTCCTGAAGCCATTTAGCTTATATTTTATGTTTTGGGAGCAAATATTGGTCTTTTGTGCATGCCTATGCATACCATCCTAAAAATGAGTCCCCAACAAAGGAATTTATAGATAGTTGTGATTGTCAAACTGTTGTGTCCTGTTGTGTGTGCTCTGTCGCCATGAGCAAACGCCCATGACCCGAATGTGTTGTTGCTACGTTGCTTTGACCATGACCAGGTCAGGCGAGTCTGCCCACTAAGTTTTAGCATATCATTAAGATGACAAAAAGTAACTAAACAAGGATTTCCCTGATAATAGCAACCAAACTGCGAAAAGCCAAACTTGAAAATCAAGTGGATTACACTATAAGACATATAGGTTAGATGCTGGTGAAATTCAGTGTCCAAATTTTTTTAGCTTAGGAAATATTTAAATAAAAAAACTTGATTCAATATTGAACTATTCCAACCCTTTTATCAAATTTTCATCAAAATTGAAAATTAGATGAAAAAAGGTTAAGGGTTGAAAATCTCATGAAAGAGTTAGGGTAGTTCAAATCAAATCAAGCTTCTTTTTTTCTTTTTATTTTTTTCAAATTGGAATCAAATTAGATGAAAAAAAGTAGTTGAGGGTTGGAGATGCTCATCAACAATCCTTCCATGTTTTCTCAATGCTTTTTTTTTTTTTTTTTGCCTATCATCTTTTTATTTTAAATATTCTGCATACTATCTGTAGGAAATAGCGGAAGCCCTAGCCAGGAGAGCACATGAGATAGGGAATTCAACAACTTGTATGACTCCATTTGCAGATGCAGTGGCAGCACTTGGGATCGAGGGATTTACCGGTGGCAAGCTTGATGACGTGGTTGTTATTGTCTCTTTGGTTCAAAAAATATCAAGCCCTCACATGGAGTAATTTCAATTGCTTTTATCTTCTTATTGTTTCTAGTATGGAATCTTCATAACCGTCTTTTTCCCTTTCTTTTTTCAAATCCCTTCCCAAATCCTTCAATCAAACACAGCCTAAGGGATTTATCTGGGCATATTAAGAAGGGTGAAGACGAAAAGCATATAATAGTTGATTCCTTGAAAACCAATGAACCAAATTTCTGGATAAATTGCTTGGGACGCATCATTATCCTTCTGATCATCATTTTTTGTGTATGTTACTTCTAACCAGGGAGGAAATCTCAACAGCAGGATATACCTTATCCTCTGGTGTTTATTTACTACCACATCCTTCTAAGGTAATCTCCATATGATGGACATGACAAATGCTGTTTTATATTTTTGAATGACAAGAAATTGACATACTTGTGTAATAATATTTAGATAATTTAAAAAGAGCATTCAAACTAAGAAACAAGAGTGTTAGGATTCAAAATTGTATCTCCAGTTCTTCAAATTGTGGGTCATTGTGACTTTGGAATCCATGGTTTTCTAGTTGGTGGGGAGAAAAAAGGAGCCATTATGACTTCCTGTTTACTACTAATTGAGTTTTTTTTTTTTTTTTTTTGGTGGGATGGGGGTGGAGTCAGTTATTGACTGAAATTTTTTGTTTATATATTTGAATTTATTCTTGACGGAGAGTTTAAAGTTTTGAAATTGGAGCCAAGTGAAAATTTTGGATTATTATTGTCATCAATTTAACATTTGCAAAGCGTCATATTGAATAGTTTTACTCATCAAACAAAAGAATAATAATATTGTAGACAGTCCAATTTGACCAAATGCCATGAGGGCACTTGTGGACAAATAAGCCACTTTGCACCTTGACCTATCATGCTAGGCAAACTTGAGGAGGCTATGGTTTGGTGGGAAACAAAGGGAATGCTAGCTTGGGTGCAGTGCCACAGACTTGGTTTGCTGACTCAATTCACTAAAACGGATATTGGGTAACTGTGATGGTGACTGGAGCCATGGAAATTTTCACTCCCTCACACCTTCGCCAAATGATAACAATACATGTCTTTACTCTAGAAGCACGTTAAATAGCTATTTATTAATCTTTATGAACTTATAAACGTATTTCCATTTTTGGAATGAGCTGATGAATTATACAATTTCTGCATAAGCAATGAATTATATATACTCCCTCCGTCCCATAATATTAGTCCCTTATTCCATTTTTCATTGTCCCAAAATATTAGTCCCTCTTCAAAAATCAAGTACAAAAATAATATAAATTTCCCATTTTGCCCTTCTTTTAAATTCATAAATAATATAAAAAGTACAATTATGACATTGATATTCTCAAAAAAGTGTACTATCAAAGGGTAATTTTGGAAAACTAACTTTTTAAAAGTACAATAATTGTACTACCAAAAAAAGTTGGATTCCCCAAAAGGGACCATTATTTTGGGACGGAGGGAGTATTAAATTATTATCAAAAAGAAATACTTAATTTCTTTTATTTTTTTATAATTTTTTTTATTTTAATTTTTTACCTGTCATTGACTTTATGTAAATCTAAATAATAAAATTTTTAGTGTGTGTGTGTTTTTTATAAGTGAACTTTTATTAAACAGACATGGGGTGACACCATTGTAATGAAAAAAAAATAAAATCCTTCTCTAAAACTAAGCTTTCCCAAATTCAAAATTGCATCATAGTTTGGTCCATCTAAAAGTAAGTTTTATTGAATTCCTTGGGCTTGAAGTTTGGCAGAGAGCTGTATGCAATCACATTTTGGTCCGCTTAAATCCAAAAGGTAGTGCTATTGACTTCCTTGGCCGTGGGCCATTCTATATGAACCATGTAAATCTTGTTTTTCTTTCTCTTTTACTTCTCTCTTTTATTCTTGCATTCTCTTATGATTTATAAATTTATCAGTAATAATTTGGATGTGATTTTTTCAAACTATTTTTCTGTAGTAAGTAATTCAGCAATAATGAATGACAGGCATCGACAGGTGGGGAGGATGCTTATTTTATTGTTGGCCAGAACTGGTTAGGCGTGGCTGATGGAGTCGGTTCGTGGTCAGAAGAAGGTAATTGTTGTGGACAGAGTATGTCAAGTTACAGCTTCCATTGCTATGTCAACTTAATTTTTCTGTTTATTTTGTCTCAGTGTTGGTGGTTTTACCAACATTTGTGATCTTGATTTAGTTGTTGATTTATATCTTAATAGATACACTTATGCATCTATTCAACAGACAAGTTTTCCTAATACAGCTGTTAGGTAGCCCTCATAGGCAATAATATGCTATTGTTCAAGATGAATCTGTATCTTGATTTTGGTTTAAATATAATTTGTATTGAATTTTACTTTCCAGGGATTGATCCAGGAATTTATTCTCAAGAACTGATGGAGAACTGTCGAAAGATTGTCTCAGAATGCAATAGTGTTCCTCATCCTGAGGAGGTTATCAGTGAAAGTGCTCTGGAAGCAGAGTCTCCTGGATCATCAACAATTTTGGTTGCTTACTTTGATGGTCAGGTATTTGTAGACTCTTTCTGTTGGGTGGTTACGTTGTTGAGGAAGTGTAATTATCAGAATAAGTTTAGTGTTTCCATGCTCTTTTAGATGATGTTAACTAAATTTCAGGAAATTTTTTCAGTCCCCTGGTAGGATATAAGTTGAGGAAGTTAGTTGCCAATGTTTGAATGCAATGGGCTCCAAAATGCCCATAAACGAGCTTGTGGGAAAATAATAGTAAGGAACTTGGGCAATGTAGGTATTTGAATGCCTTTGACAGTTCATATGACCCCAAATGAGTGGACCTCACAACCTCACCCAATGCGTGGACCTCACAACCTCAAGGCATAAGCCCCCTTGCCTTGGTAGGTGCTCACCCAAGCACTTCACATTGGCTTGTAAGCCTTCCCTCACCTAAGTGCTATGGGTGCTTGCCTTACTAACCCTGCTCCCCAAGCAGATACCCAACTCTGCAACCATCTGATTGCCTCACTACCCCGTACTCAGCAACTACTTGCTTGGCACCATGCGCTTTGCCTTTCGAAGGCTCTAACTCCAAAATGATACTCTGATAGCCTGCGTAGGTCAGGATCAGGGTCTACAGACTCTCTGAGAGTGACTCACCATTTTTATTTAAATGGCAAGGAAACATATGCGTCACACATCAGTTTAATCTGAAGGAATAGTATGGAAAGATACCTGAATCGAGAAAGTCAGTTTAAAATCATAGAAACTGCACTAGGTTTTATTCCACCTATAGCTCAACAATTTTAGAAGATAATGATGTAAATTTTGATGCTTTAAGAACTCTGCTAGTAAGGATATCAACTGACAGTATTAATGTTCCTCAGGTTCTTCATGTGGCCAATATTGGAGATTCAGGATTTATTGTAATAAGAAATGGTGTTGTTTATAAAAGGTCTACACCAAGGTCGTTTAAGTTCAACTGTCCATTTCAGATTGCAAGTGGAGTTGATCCCTCCGAATATGTGGAGGTATGTTGTATCAATTACTAATACATTCAAATAATGCTGACTAAACACTTTAATATTGATCATGTTATGAATATTTAAATCCATTGAAAAATTAAGCTTGCAGTGAGTAGGAGTAATCATCTGTAATGTTATGAGCAATCACACACACAAGAGACATATATTTAGAGTGGGAAAAACCCTTCAGAATGTGAAGGCAAAAAAACCTACTGCGCTGCACAATCCACTAGCTAGGAAATTAAGTTTACTAGTACATAAGATCTGGACAAAAATCCTATTGACCCAAATCCCATGAGCAGTTCTGTAGTTTTGATCTTCAACCTGTTTGTTCCAATCTTACTTAGATTTGTTGTCTCCGCTAGCATGCTATGATTACTAATCCACTGCCATGACCTCAACACCCTCAATCCACAGCACCAAGCTTGGATTTCTTGAATGATTAAACAACATAGAATGAAATGATACTCACAAGATATGAAGTTTTAAGCATAATAATCTATTTTGAAATATAGAAAGTTTCAAGATTTAGGAAAATTGGTATATTACTGCCTTGAACTTACTTTGTTATCATCAAAATCAATTTAAACTTTACTTGAAAAACCTTAAGGCTAATAGCTTGGATTTTCAAAATATCATGACATGCTCATGAGACTCTGAAGTACTAGATACAATTCTTGGAATGAAATTGCCAGCACAAAAATGACAAGGATATTTTTCCTCATAATAGGCCATACAAATGAAAGTTATTTTTTTTCTCTTCTAAAAAATAAATGATTAGAAATTATTAATTTTATTATGTCTAACCATTTGCATTTCAGATATACAAAATTGATTTGGACGAGGGTGATGTGATCGTGACTTCAACAGATGGCCTTTTTGACAATCTGTACAACCCAGAAATAGTTTCAATTGTATCCAAGTCAATGCAATCCAATTTTAAACTTGAGGTGCTTCCTAGATGCCTTGTTAAACATTTTTAAGCTTCTCTAGACTCTTGACTGAACTATTTGAGAATAAGTTTGTAGCTAGACGTGCTGGTTGCAGTGTGGTCATTGCACAAGGCATTTGGCCAAAACAAAGAGTGACCCACTATTTATTCTCTCCTTGAACTCGAACCCAAGAGTGATTCCCTGAAGTCCTATTCATGGGTGCTAGGCAGGCAATGGTGTGAAACAAAATGACTCGCAAACTCGAACCTAAGAGTGATTCCCTGAAGTCCTATTCATGGGTGCTAGGCAGGCAATGGTGTGAAACAAAATGACTTGCAACAAATATCTTAGTTCTCGCATCAATGAAGGATGTGGCAAAATGTGATGTTCTGTGCAAATTGCAGAATCTTGTGAACCATCGAGTCTTTGAACACAATTTATTCCTGAAGCCATGTAGCTTATATTTTATGTTTTGGGAGCAAATGTTGGTCTTTTGTGCATGCCTATGCATACCATCCTAAAAATGAGTCCCCAACAATAGACTTTATAGATAGTTGTGATTGTCAAACTGTTGTGTCCTGTTGTGTGTGCTTTGTCGCCATGAGCGAGCGCCCATGACCCGAATGTGCTTTTGCTACGTTGCTTTGAAAATGACCAGGTCAGGCAAGTCTGCCCACTAAGTTTTAGCATATCATTAAGATGACAAAAAGTAACTAAACAAGGATTTCCCTGATAACAACAACCCAACTGCGAAAAGCCAAACTTGAAAATCAAGTGGATTATACTATAAGACATACAGGTTAGATACTGGTGAAATTCAGTGTCCAAAGTTTTTTAGCTTAGGAAATATTTAATTTCAAATTTGAATAAAAAAACTTGATTCAATATTGAACTATTCCAACCCTTTCATCAAATTTTCATCAAAATTGAAAATTAGATGAAAAAAGGTTAAGGGTTGAAAATCTCATGAAAGAGTTAGGGTAGTTCATATCAAATCAAGCTTCTTTTTTTCTTTTTCTTTTTTCAAATTGGAATCAAATTAGATGAAAAAAAGTAGTTGAGGGTTGGAGATGCTCATCAACAATCCTTCCATGTTTTCTCAATGTTTTTTTTTTTTTTTTTTTTGCCTATCATTTTTTTATTTTAAAAATTCTGCATACTATCCGTAGGAAATAGCGGAAGCCCTAGCCAGGAGAGCACATGAGATAGGGAATTCAAGAACTTGTATGACTCCATTTGTAGATGCATATGCAGCACGTAGGATCAAGAAGGGATTTACTGGTGGCAAGCTTGATGACGTGGTTGTTATCGTCTCTTTGGTTCAAAAAATATCAAGCCCTCACATGGAGTAATTTCAATTGCTTTGATCTTCTTCTTGTTTCTAGTATGGAATCTTCATAACTTTTGAGCCAACATATGCTCTGGTCTTATTTCCCCAATGTGTAATTATTTGGTATATATATTTGGATGTGTCTTTGAATGTATGATATAATTTATTAATTCTTTGTTTGATTTACATTAGCAAGCTATCACCAAGAATTATTCCTTCTAGTCTTTTTCAATCATTGATCATATTTGAAGTCCTCTACAATCTCAACGCCTTTCGACCAAATCTTTGAGTTGGCTTTGCTATTCACTGATAGAGGTAAGTTTTCCGGTGCTGAGGTATTCTCTCTCTCTCTCTCTCTCTCTCATTGATTTTGACCTGCACATTCATATTTATGCCTCAGATTGAGGTGATAGATAACCTTTGGGTTTATTTTGATGGTTTCTCTCTGAAGGGTAATGCTTTGCTTTTATGTGTTCATATAGTTTTGAAATTAGACATTTACTAGTGGTATTTTATGCTTTGTTTGATGGAAGATAATAAAAGAATGGAAGAGAAAACTTTAAAAGTAAATTCCTTTTTCTTGTTTGGGTGGCTTAGAAGGAGAGAAAAAGTGAAAGGAGGTAATAAGATAAATGAATTATGAATTGTGTTCATAGCACAATTATGAAATTTATTAGCTTATTTGTTCTTTAAAAAAAAAAACCTTGTTTAGTTTGGAGTTTTAAAAACAGTTTTCTGACTTGTGTTCTTAATGATTTTTTAAAACATTATAATTATTTTTAAAAAAAAAATACACTCACTTAATCTTAATATATTTAAAAAATAAAAAAAATGCACAAAAATCTGTAAAAATTTTATTAAATACAACAAAATATGAAAATTTATTATATTTTTATTTTTTGTATTTGATCATTTTTTTTATTACAAATATTATACTTTTGAGCGTATTTAGATTAGGTACATCTAAAAAAAAAATTTAAATGTAAAATATTAACAAAAATTACTAAAAATAAAAAATAAATAATAAAATGAAAAATAAAAAACTCATTTTTTAAAAAATGAATTTAATTTTCTAAAATTAAACATAGCGAGGCAAAAGATAAGTCTCACATGAGTGTTTATTGAGACTTATCATTTGTGTCTATATCTTATTATGTGAAAATCATCCACACTCTTCAATACAACAAATAAGCAATGCAACAGCACTACGTGGACATAAATTATGTGTACAAAATACAAAAAAAAAAATCTCTCATGAGACCATCTCTAATGTTTATTTAAATTTAGGGAAAATTGGCCTGAGGTCCCTCCTCTACTTTTGATAGGAGGAGAGGTCCTTTATAATATGTTTTGATGGCTAAGGTCCCTCAAATTTATTTTAGGTTATAAAGTACCTAAATTACCCTTCCTTTATAACATAAATTTGTTTGAATATTATATTGTTGACTTAACTGATAGATTTTGGAAACCGAATTTGAAGTGGAGATTTTGTCGGAGTTTTCGTCGGAGATTTCAGTAGAGATTTCATGTTGGAGATTTCGTCGGAGATTTCAATGGAGTTGACGAGAAAGATTGCTACGATCGTGTAGTCGGAGATTTCAGTGGTGTTACAGTGTGTTGATCGCGTAGATTTTCAGTGGAGTTGAATCAGGTTTGTTTTCGATGGAGATACCACATGCATTTTGATTTTTGTTTTGAATTTTTGTTTAAAGAGAGGCCAACTTGATAGAGTTGATTTTTATTTTTGGAATTAATTTTTCATTCTTTGTTTTTTGATCAATTTCAAATAGTGTTGACAGTGTAGGTGATTTTGATGTTTAGAATTCATTTTTGGTGCTCTGTTTTTTATCAACATACTGATCAATGATAAGTTTTGTTCTATGTTTTTTCAAACCAGAAAAATTTCATTTTCTGCACTTTTGTTTGTGTAGTCCAGAGAAAATTATAAGTGCATATGGACATATTATTAGAAGTTTCTAATGCAGATAGAATATGAGAAAGTGAATGTAAGTTCATAAATTTCTCTGGACTTGTATTTGTAGTTCAGAGAAAATTATAAGTTTGTTACTCACTTTCAGTTTGTAGTTCAGAGAAAAGTATATGTTTGTAGAAGATGAATAGAAGTTTTTGTTTCTCTAAGCAAAAGTTATTTTTTGTGTTTTTTCTTTTAGTTTAGATGGACAATGCAGTATTTTTTGTTATCTTGAAGGTGTATATAAGTTTGTAAATTTCTCTGGATTTTTCTATGAGTGCAATATTACAGAACGACGCATAGAAAATTATTAGCTTGTAGTGAGGTGAAAATCATGTTGAAGCCTATAATTTCATAACAGATATTCTATGTGATTTTTTTTTCTATAATTATGTTTAATAGTTAGCAGTAAACTTCTCTATGATTCATTAAGTTTCTGTGATTTTGTTTTTTATCATCTTGAAGGTGAATATCAGTTTGTAAATTCAGAGAAAATTATAATTTTTAGAAATTTCTCTGGACTTTTATGTTGTTCTTGTGAAGTGTTTCTATGTTAAACAAATTATTTTTGTTGTTTTTTGTTTCAGTTTCAATGGACAGTGCAGTGTTGTTGCTGTGAAAATATGGGAATGATACTAATTAATGTTTCATGCGAATTTAATTTTGAGGAATTGGTTGGCATTTTGTGTAAAACATGGGAGAATTTGAAACCTGAGACTATGTGTATTTCATATTCTATTTTGGGCCATCCGAATTGTATGGTTCGAAATAATATTGATTTTCTGAATATGTTGAGGGTTGTTTGTGCACGCGGTGTTGATATAGTTGATGTTTCAGTTAGTAGATGTAGTACTTCTGATGAAGAGGATGAAGTGGGGTCTAATTGGGTAGATGTTGTGGATGGTGAGTGTGATAGGCTGGTGGATGTTGAAAGGAATTCACTCTCTAAGTTTTGTTCTCACCAAGAAAAGGTGTTATTGTCGGCTAGTTGGCGGAACAATATTATGAGTGTTGGACAAAAGTTTGAGGGTGGTGTGGCTGAGTTCCGTACTTTTTTATGCAAGTATGCTATTGGGGTTGGTTTTCAGTTTACGTATGTTAAAAATGACAAGCTGAGGGTTACGGCAGAATGTGCATATAAGGAATCAATGGGATGTATGTGGCGTGTACATGCTTCTGTTGAAAAAACAAATGGGTTCTTTTACATAAGGACTTTGAACAATGAACATACGTATGGTGTGGCGGTTCGTATGAGTAAACATTCGAGGATGACTTCCAGCTTAGTTTCTGAGCTGATACTTGAAGATGTAAGTGCAAAACCTTTAACTCGTCCAGTGGATGTTGTGAAAGGAATGAAAGACAAGTATGGGGTCTCAATTAGTTATAACTGTGGTTGGTTGAGTGTTGAGAAAGCAAAATGTAGTACATATGGGGATTCTTGTTTGTCATTTGATCAATTACGGTGGTATTTTGATGAGGCATTGAAGAACAATCCACTCTGTATATTATGATTGTGTGAATTTTCTCTGTAGCTGGTCACTAAGTCAATTTTCTCTGGATGTTGCCAATGTGTGAATTTTCTCTGGATGTTGGCAGTGTCAAACTTCTCTGGTTGTTTTATTGTTCTATTTTTCTCTGTTGTTTTGTAGGTGGTCACTAAGTGAATTTTCTCTGTATATTATGATTGTGTGAATTTTCTCTGTAGCTGGTCACTAAGTCAATTTTCTCTGGATGTTGCTAATGTGTGAATTTTCTCTGGATGTTGGCAGTGTCAAACTTCTCTGGTTGTTTATTGTTCTATTTTTCTCTGCATGTGTGTATCTAATATGTTTGTTCCTATTTGTTTTGTAGGTTTTTTTCCTGTAGCTTTTGCTGTTGTTGATGCTGAGAATAAAGACAATTGGTGTTGGTTTCTTGAACATTTATGTGTAGTATTGGGGTTAGAAAGGGTGATAAGTTTCATATCAGATCGACATTGTGGAATTGTGGAGGGAATTGCTAGGTTTTTCCCTAACTGTTTTCATGGATTTTGTCTGGAACATCTAAAGAGAAATTTGAGGGATAAGTTGTCATGTGGAAACACAAATTTGGTTAGGGAGACGATTGTGTCCAAGTTTTCAGAATGTGCATATGCTCCAACAAAGGCATCATTTCATTTCAAGTTAAATGAATTAAAAAGTGAGGGAGGAGACATTGTGAGTGTTTTCTTGAGAAGTTTACCATATGAAAATTGGAGTGATGCATATTTTGCAGGGAAACGTTATGGTGAGATGTATTCAAATGTTGCTGAGTCATTCAATTCATGGATACGAGAAGCTCGGCACTAGCTAATAACAAATTTGGTGGACATGATACGGTTGCAAATCATGAATATGAAGTCTGATAGGAGGCTGCTCTCTAGTAAATGGAATAAAATTCTATGTCCTCGTATGGATAGTGTGTTGGAGAAGTCTTTTTTAGATGGGAGGACATGGAATGTGAGTTTATAATCTGATAATGTCTTTGAAGTGCATTGTTTTCCTTCGGTTATGGTTGATCTTGGGTTGAGAACTTGTTCATGTCGAAAATGGGAAATAAATGGGTATCCATGTCAACATGCTGTTGCTGCAATTTTTAGGAGTGGAAAGAATTTGAATTCATTTGTTGAACCATTTTTTCATGCTGATATGTATCGTCAAGCATACTCCTTTTCGATTGGCCCAGTTCCAACTGTTGAAAAACCTGTGTGTAGCATTGAAGATGCTATGATTTTACCTCCATTGAGCAAGAGACCTGCTGGGAGGCCGAAGAAGAATAGAATTGCTGCTACTGGAGAGTTTAAAAGGGTGATTAAGTGTAATCGTTGTGAGAGTATTGGTCACCATAATAAGAGGACATACAAGGAACCTTTGTTAAATAGTTGAGGATTATACATTTTATTGATTGAATAATACATTTGATGATTACTTTGTGTATTTTGTTTTGTGAAATGTATTTTTTAGACAATGTATATAATAATATCAATCAAATTCATCCAGAGAAATTTTCCAATATCAGTTAAAGTGTGTTTGTTGATATATACTATAGGCAGTGGGTTTGTAATACCTGTCAAATTCATCCAGAGAAATTTTCCTATGGCAGAGAAAATTCTGTGTGTTGTGTTTTGAAGTTTCATATTCATCCACATAAATTTGACAATGGTAGACTAAAGTACTGTGTGGATTGTGTTTTTTGAATTTGGTAATTGTTTTGTACTAACACAGTGCATTAGAGATTGAATGATCATATAGGCACCTTCTTTGGCGAGATATGAGTTAAATTTATCTGTAAATTTCTAGTAGCTTCATATCAGTCATTTCAAGAAATGTGCACACCAGACAGAGCATACAAAAAATTATTGTACAACCAAGAAACAAAATTAAACTCTTTTGGAATTTCTCTAAGTTGAGAATTTCTCTGGACCAGGGAAGAATTTCTCTGGACTCACTTCAACTCAGAAATTTGTGTCAAAGCCAGAGAAATTTTCCTCACCAACTCGGAGAAATTCCTCCTCTCCAAATCACTCAACCCAGAGAAATTCATAACTCAGAAATTCCATTTTCTGTCAAATTCATCCAGAGAAATTTTCCACCATAAGAGAAAACTATCTGGGCATTGTGTTCTGAAATTTGAAATTCATGCAATGAAATTTTTCAGTGGCAGATAAAATTACTGTGTGCTTTGTGTTTTGTTGAGTTTGATGATTGTTTTGTACCAACACAAAGTATTAAAGATTACATGATCATATAGGCATCCCCTTGGGACGATA